TGCACACCCCTAATATATATATATATTCACGTGTGTGTGTTTTTACTATATATATTGTAAAAAACATTGGAAAAGATAAAGACATTAGTTTTTTTATTATAAATACTGAATTTATTACATACAATGTGTGGTAAACTCATACATACTTCTGCATGCATAAGTTTTCAAACAAAATGGATAAAAAGCATTATAAAATCCTATTGATTTATTAAACTAAAATGATTATTAACCTATTCTGGGTTCGATTCCCGGCCCGGGGCCTTTCTGCATGGAGTTTGCATGTTCTCCCTGAGCATGCGTGGGTTCTCTCCGTGTACTCCGGCTTCCTCCCACAGTCCAAAAACATGACTGTTAGGTTAATTGGATTCTCTAAATTAGGTGTGAGTGTGTGCGTGAATGGTTGTTTAGGTGTGAGTGTGTGTGTGAATGGTTGTTTGTCCTGTGTGTCTCTGTGTTGCCCTGAGATGGACTAGCGATCTGTCCAGGGGGGACCCCGCCTCTCGCCCATTGACTGCTGGAGATAGGCACCCAGCACCCCTCGTGACCCCACTCGGGATAAGCTTGTCAGATAATGGATGGATGGATTATTAACCTTATGATAAAAAAAAAAAAAACTTTATTTGCAATGGGCTCAAAACAAAATAGTATTTTAAATCTCAACAAAAGAAAATTAAAATAGAAAATATAAGTTTTGAGTTTGTTTTAAAAAAAAAACTGTAAAACTTTTTAGTCACCGTCATCACAAGGCATAGCTAATAACGTTAATAATATGAATTATCACTATTGAAAGAGATATTTCTTTCTCTGCTTAGTCTGCTAAGCAGAGAAAGAAATATCTCTTATAGTCTCTGCTTAGTCTGCTGCCTCCGCGACCCGATTCCGGATAAAGCGGGAGACGACGAGTACGAGTATGAGTATTTCTTTCTATAAACCAAATCTGTAGTTGCGTCAAGTAAGAGGAGGTTTGGGAGCATCACCGGGGGACAACACGGTGAGTCCCCCGATGGGGCTTCCAGCTTCAGCCATGCTCTGGTAAAGCTAAAGCTACAGCAGATAGCATCTGCCTCCAGGGAGTTAGGAATATGATGCTATCTGGCACTTCTGGGCCATAGATCCACATTTATGCAGCCAAAACACTCAGCTATCAGGACCTAATGTAACATGGCTGTTAGTTATTAGACATGCATGAATAATAATGCAGTAGACCTGCTAACTGATAATCAAATCTATCAATAAATAACATTGATATAAGAACTGTGGAATTACAATTAGGATATACATAGTGAAACATTTACGTTTTTCTAGTAACATGACATTAAAGTCTTGACTTTTGTTTATACTTTAAGCATTATTTTAAATGTGAATAAAAGCTATTTTAATTTAAGAGAATAAAACTGGACAGACAATGAGGACAGACTGTACTAAAGCTTGGATGGATTCTGAGGAGCACACAGGTTTTTGAGGGGATTATGGAGCTTATTTCCAAAGCAGAGTGGGAGAACTGGAGCCTAATGTGCTTTAACTAACTGAAAGGGGGAGGTTTTCATGTTTTTGTAAGTAGAGGCAGTTTAGATGAGTTTGTGAGTTTTAGAAGTCTTTTTTTGGAATAAAATGGGAATGCTTTAGGAAGTTATAGCTTTCTAACATCTTAAATAATTCCTGTTCCTCCCATTGTCAAGCGGGGGATTCCAGACATACCAGAGCTGGAGACATTAACTGTACATACAATAGATTAAACAATGAGCAGGAGGCACCAGACTGCAGCAGCGCACAGGCGGGGTTGTTTTCAGATGCAGAGTCTTTCTTTAAAGTGTTACTCAAACCCTTTCTTTTTTTTTTTTTTTTTTTTTTGATATTCTGTTTTTTTTTTACTTTAGTGGCAGTTACTGTAGATTTTAGTCTCTTACAAGTACCTAAACTTATGCTTTAAGACCCCATCCAATGCCTGACTGTAGGAAATCCGACTTTAGTACAGAGACCCAGGCTGTCAGAAGCTTATCTATATTACTGACTGTTGTGCTTCCTGGACATCCTCTGGACTCTACTGTAGAAAAGTCCTGTCTGGGACCATCAGTTGTCAGTATATGCATTAGGGCTGCAAAAAGTTATTTAATAGGATACTTTTTTTGTGGTGTTCAAAGCAGGTGAAGCTAAAACGTCCTTATATTAGAGAAAATCAAGAAAAAAAGAATTTTAAGCTTACATTAAAATGTTTTTCATATTGTTCACACAGTTTTCTCTAAATCACTGATTGGTGGTTTAGTTCTTTCAGCAAAAGCCTTGTTTCAGGGTTTTCTTGCTTCACTTAACAAATCGGTTCCAGTTGATTAGTGAATTAGTTGACGATTATTTCAATAATCGGTTAGTCTAATTAATTGTTATAGCCCCAATTTGCAGATAAGCAAAGTTTTGAGAATTTTATTTACACGGCAGAAATTCACAGAACAAGTGCTGAGCAGAACATTAATGGTATAGTGGAGTATGTTGTTTTTCCATGTGGATCATCAAAATAACTGGTCCCCCTAATTGTCAATCATGCAAGTAATATGTTTACGTAAGGCCATCCTACATGCTCGTCCTCATAGGTAGCTATCTTTTTCTACGCATGCGCACTTTCAGTCGTATATGTGTGGTGAGCTACGGTTTCAGGCAGTCATTGAAGCTCGCCTTTCTAACCATGGTTCTTTGAAAATGGCCGAGGGTCATAAGAGAAAAAGTGTCAATTGCCAAGTTTCAACTTGACAGGTAAAGTTTGGCGTGCCGTTTGGCTAAATCCATTTCACATCACTGCTAGTAAAAGTCATCTACTCCTATAATTATAACTTTCCAGGGAAGACATGTTTATTTATTTTGTAATTTTTATTGTTAGTAGTTATACGGTGGACACCGATCCTTATTTATACACACACATACAAGCAGGTCATTTAAAAAAAAAATAAATACATTTTTATGTACCCATAGTCTTATTTGTGGGGAAACTTTTTTACATATAAATATGGTTGAGATGAGATCCATCCGAGCGACCGTCTTATCACTGAAGAGGGATGCATCATATCAGGCATTATCAGGTAAAGAAAAGAAATGTAAAATTAGCTGAAGTGGAAAAATACAGGGAAAGTAAGAAGTTACATTCTGAACATCCATCAATTCCCATAGATTTAGACTCTCACCCTTGATTTTAAACGTTTTAGGAATTAATAATCTTGCTCACAGCTTAAATAAGGGGAAATATGGCAAACATTTTTATCAAATATCTATACCCTAAAAATAACTTTGTACTGAAGAAAGCCATTTTTTATTGGTTATGCAGTTTGCAACAAATGTTCATTAACAGTCATTTACGTAACCCTTCTAGACAACAGTACCCATAACATAAACTCACTGTACTGGGATACATCATATCAGGCATTATTTTTAGCTGATCTTAATGTCCCATTTAGGAATTCCTTTGTCCCTGATACCAAGCCAAGCTATTTAGAGACTTGTAATTTTCCAATACCAGTCATCCCCTGTTGTTGAAACAGTGAGATACTGGTAAGGAAAATATTAGCTTTTATAAGTGCATTTGCTGCAGCTGCTTCATTCTTTTGGTTTCTGCTTAATCCCCCACCCACCACAGCATGGTCTTCAAGGATGGGCTTGCTGATGGCATTGTTTATGCTAGCTCTGCCTCTGTTCGACTGAAGTAGGATGACCAGAAGGTCATAAAATGTTGATTGCTGAATCATTTATTAGACAAACTCGTTGCACGTACATGAAGACGACACATGTAAGAGCCGGAGGTGCCTTGGTTTATTGTAATTTTAGAGGCAGACATTAAACAACAGTCTGGTCGAAGATTTAGATTAGGAACCCTTACACCCCCTCATCTATTACTGCGCTACCCACTCAAAGAACCCAAACACAGCTACAGAGGCTCCTGTTTTATATCATTTCTGCTTTAAGGAGACCACTCTGCATGGCAACAACAGGTTTGAGTAGAGAATAGATCCTATTACGAGTGGGTGTGGTTATTCACGGTGCAGCTCTGTAGTCTGTGACTCAGCTTAAAATTGTGAGTGTCTCTGGTCTCTGGATGGTTCCGTGGGGTGGGTGTTGATTAAGTCTTCCTGATGCACCCTGCATTAGTTCCCATGCAAAACCAATGCCCACCCATGTCTCTCTGCCAAGAGTGTTCTGCAGGAAGGATGTGCTGACTCCAGGAGGACTGGCAGAATCAAAGAGACGGAGTTTGTCTGAAACCATCCAGAGACACTATGTGTGTAATATGTCGTGCACAATGCAGCAATGTGGTTGCATTTATCCTCATTCAGCAGAGGCTGTAGAGTTCAAGGAGCTGCTGAGCTTTGGTTCTTCCACCCTCGATGACAACCTTAATGTAATAGACACAAAGTTATGCCTTTACAACTGCAAATCTAAAAAAGGCGGCTCACATATATATTCAGCCCTTTTTATCTAAGTGACAGCATTTAGCTGTGGGAATGCCTCCCTTAAGCAGGATAACTGAGGAGAGTTGAAGAAAAGCAAATGTTCACCACACTTTTCCAGATTTATATATTCATCCAATAAAGTGCATTAAAGTTGTTGGTTGTAACGGAGACAAACTGAAAAGAAGAGGAGCGTATATTCAACCCTCTTGTCCTTTACGGCGGTGGTCGGTTGTTGTGAGTGCAGCTTCCCCAAACTGGCCTCCGTGTGAAGTCCACAGGAATAAGAGCTATTTATTCAATAGAGTCAGTGGGACATTGAATCTTAAATCTCCTCCCTTCCTCACGCTCCACCGGCCAGATTAAAGAGTCGACCACAAACTTACTGTATTGAAATGAGAAAGACAAGTAAATAACATGTCATATGGTAAAAAATAATATATTTCTGTCATGAGAAAGTATTCACCCTTAATGATTTTTTCCTGTGTAGATTCTTACCTTTCTATTTCTCTCTGTTTCTATTTCCTGCTCACTTGCTCCTGTGTATGATGGATCGACCTTCTGTTTGAACAGGAAGCAGCCCAAGGTATGTATGTTTTATCCATTCATTTTTCAGACATTTGCTGCTCCAGAACTTATACACCCAACAAGAGTGTTTCTCCCGCACAGGTTGATTCCTGGTTGTGTCAGTGTTTCTAAGGAGATGATTTAAGTTTTTTTCGGTTAGATTTGTGGGTCAGCAGGAGCCAGATAAATGTCCGTGTGAATGTGTCAGCGCTCTCCCAAACTCCCACAAAGGCTCCACAATGAGAGAGGGATGAGCGCGGACATTGGGGTTGTGTGTGTGCACATTCAAAGCTGCATTGTTGTAGCACACCCCCACTTCCCCCCGTAACAACACACGGCTCAGAGATGTTTCACACACCAGGGACGGGCTTTGTGCTCAGATTCCCCCCCCTCCTGACTGGACCACGGGTGAGCATGGTCTCTTGGGCATGCAAACCTGAGCTGCCCTGTTATAACCCTCCACTCAGACAAGCACGTGTCCGTCTGCCCTGTTCATTGCTTAGTGCATTCTTCAACGCAATCATAGATAACTATTTATTTCTTGGAAAAAAAAGGGGGGCTTTGGTCCTTCTCTGCTTCATCATCATTTATGCTGCTGATTAATAGTAATTGTCCTATCAAGGGAAATCTGTTGTGCAATCACACCCATGGGCTGAAGGGAGCCAGAACAGAGGGCACTGCAGCCCTGGTCTCTAAAACAGCCCTAATTGAGAATGATGGCACTTTTGTTCCTTTGAATGGCACCCATTCACTTGTCTGAAGTCACAAGAGGAAGTCTTGCTCTCAGTGCATTCAGTGATCTCAGAGCTTCCCATGCTGACTGTGCAGCCTCGGCCTCCCCAGTTCAGTTATTATGTGGCATTTGGTATTTCTGTTGGGGTGGGATGGGGTGGGGGGTGGCGGGGTTCTTTTTAAATAAGCTGCAGCAGATTGAAAGTCAGCGAGGAGGGTCAGTGCATTCTGAGGTTTAGTTTGCTTTCTGTGGGAATCAAATAAAATTATACCACTTATAAAATCACAGAAAGTCTAATTATTTAAATATAATTATATATAACATTATAACAAATTGCACATTAAAAGAACATTTTTTTTTCTCTTGATCAAGTTTGTAAAACTCAGAACTTTTTTCTGTTTCATAAAATGCATCAAAACTGATATAATTTAGTATTTTTTTTAACACAGATCAACCACCAACAACATAAATTCCCTTGATTTTCAGTCCCTTAAAAATCAAATGAAAACTGTGTTTGCAACATATGAGGGTTGACATTTCTGTCAGAATTAACATTACTACCACTATCACAACACCGTTAGCCCAAATTTTTTCTTCCGTATGATGTAGACCTGATAGACTGAATTTGAAAGTAAATCTGAAATCAGCTGGGAGAAGCTTGATTTGTGAAAAAAAAAAGGTATTTTTCAATTTGGGCCGCCGTGATTTCAAAAGTGCGGAACTGCTGCCAGTGCAAAAGCAGATACAGAGTAAACCCAGCAAGATTGTTTCTAAAAGATTTGTCAATGAAGATTTGATGCCTGTAAAGTAGCAGAAGCTGCTCTCAACAATCCGAGAAAATGTGTTTAAAATCGGCGCTTCGACTATAGATTGCTATGGTGTGAGCTAGAAATGACAGAGACTCCTGGTAAAGTGTCGAAACGTCATCAGAAAAACTGAGCCAAAGTTCGGTTGCCTCCGATTGAAGCCTGTTTGGTGTGGCTGCCGTGACATCAATGACTGAGACTTCACACATGCTGGAGCTGCTCTGTCTGAGATAGCCTTCTCTCTGTGCCTCACCAGCCCAGTACTCCTGCAGGTGGCTGGAGGATACTGGGTCTTTCTGTTATAAAAGTCAGTGCTGTGAGCCCTTGGCCTGAAAGCCAAATGCCAGTCTGTAGTACCGGGAACAGCATTGGCCCAGTTTCCTTGGAGATGATCCTCGGTGGCTGGGATGCTTCCCTCAGAAGCAAACACACTGATTTATGAATTCATTTCACTGCAACAGACCAAAAACTCTGTTGCTTTACACAGACAGTCATGGACCCATCCCGTTGAACAAGGCTATCTGGTTTCATTTTACTTGCTCGGACAAGCCCTGCCCTGCTGTTTGACTGTACAAAGTTGTACGGTAATCCAGCATCTTTGAGCTTCTGGTTTGTTTTCGGCAGACGTGCTCGGACAGGTGTGAGAATGCACGCTGATGATATCTGTCTCCTTCTTCTTGGCAGGTTTTTGCTTTTGACCACTGTTTCTGGTCCATGGATGAGTCCAACGTTCCCAAATATGCCGGTGAGTCATTGATCCTGCACTCAACCTAAGAGCTCAGCTAATGGAGCAGGCCTGTGTGAAGAGCTTTGTGTTGCCACTGTCGGAGCAGGGAAATTCCAACCTTGATGGGAAACAAAGCCTTTACAGGGTTTGGACAAATGGGATCATTTGGGTTCTAGATGCATTTGTTAGAAAATAAGTCAGCACTTTGTTTTCTTTCTTTTAAAAATTATAAAGCGCTTGTAAGGTTTTAGCTCTCCATCCAGAGTTAAACTCTCTGCTGTTGTAAACAAAGCATCCTAAGAAAAACTCTGTCTATCTAGCTGGTGCTAGAATAAAACAAGGGCATAAAACTTTCATGAGATTTATGTGTCTGTCTGATGCACATTATAATAATCATTCCCTATACTTGGTTTGCCATAAAGCTTGCATTTGATTTGTGCTGAACTGCCAGGGCAGTCTGCTCAGGGAAAGGTTGCCTCAAGGCCCCGAGCCAAGGCTTTATTTAGCTCATTAAACAGCTGTCCCATTCAGCGGGGCCAATAAGAAAGCTTCCTCTGCACAGCTTTACATTTTCCAAGTGACCAGACAGGAATCCGCCAGACTCTTATTCATCCCCCAGTGGGCCTTGTCAATACACAGCGTTGTGCTGATTTTACAGACTATTGAGATAACTTGATGACAGCTGACACTGTTTACCCTGATATCCATGGCAACTGAATCTTTCTATTAAAAAGGTCAAGAGGTGGTGTTCAAGTGCCTTGGAGAGGGAATACTTGAAAATGCATTCCAGGGATACAACGCCTGCATATTTGCCTATGGACAAACAGGTAATGAGAAGGAAAATCTAAGCCGATCAAATTAAATTTCTGTTTTGCATGATTGGCCATTCTTTAACTCCCCTTGATCTTTACTGCATCCACCAGGACCAAAACAGATTAAAGAAATAGTCCATCCATCCATCCATCCATCCATCCATCCATCCATCCATCCATCCATCCATCCATCCATCCATCCATCCATCCATCCAT